ACTTTAAAAACAGATGTAGAAAATAAAGCAAAGTGTTCAAAGATCCTCGGCTTAGCCGAGAAAAATTATCAGCCATTCCAGAATTCAGAAGACCTCATCTTCAGATTTCTGGGGGGGCAGAGGGAAATAGAGAAATGGCACAACTGATCTAATACCCTTCAGCTCAGCCGAAGTTTGATACTTATGTCAGTTTTTTCACAAGTTGAAAACATCCGAGTACAAACGGCAAAAAGAAGTCTCAGCAGAAATGATTCTCGCTAGCCGAAGTTCTGCACTTAGCAAATATTTGAAAGATCATTCAAAGAAAGCAGTAAAGTGCGAAGACTGGTAAAGCGAAGAAAAAAAAAAAAATACACAAGAAAGCTGAGAAAGTGAACTTCTTTGAAATAAAAATGTTGAATTACAAAAATAGTCGGCAGCCGCCCGCAAGCGGAAAGTAACAGCTGCCGAAATACGTACAGGCAAAATAAAAATATAATAAGCTGTTGTACGATAAGGCAAGCTGAAGCAAAAAAAAACAAAAGGCAAAAATTCAGAAAGCGGCAAGTCTAAAGTTGAGCGCATGATGAACCGCAAGATTCTGAAGACGACTGCCCGAGTTCCTATGCTTCAGCCTGAGGATCAGACTGATCAGCTTCATTGGGCCCAATGGTGGTCTCAGCTCCAGCAGCAGAAGAAGCAGGCTTTGCACTTTGCCGAGCCTCCCTTTCCCTCTGCTCAGCCTCCAACTCCATCCTCTCAGCTTCTTCCTCGGCTTCCTCAGCCTTAAGGATTTCAGCTTCGATTGGAGTGGCATACTTCATGTGAGGGTCTTCGGGATCTTGGACCCATTCAGCACATTTGGACCAGTCCAGCTTCGGCTCAGCATGAAGGCAGACCCTTCGGCACACTCTGAACCCGTTTCTAAAACCCATTTCATACTCTTCTTGGGTATAGATACGGACTTTGAGTAGAGCCTCAGCATCGGCCAACTTCTTCTTCGTCTCCTCCAAGTCTTCCTCGGATCTCTTCAGCTCATCGACGAGCTTGGAGGAGGAGCCTTTCAGCTCGGTAAACTCTTGCTGAACCTGGGAAGCCTCGGCCTGAACTTGGACCATTTCTTCCTTCTTGGCAGTGAGCTGATCCTCAGCCTCTTGTAGCTTAGCTCTTTGAGCTTCAGCAGCAGCAGCAGCCCTTGAGAGTTGGACATCCCTAGCTTGGAGCATCTCTTCAGCAGCCATTCTGCTGGCTTCAAGAGATTCTAGCTGATGCTGCACTTCAGCCTGTGCAGCAGCTCCTTCTTGGATTCGGCTCTCGATAGCAGCCTTGAACTTGGAGATGTCCACCCCCAGGTGCTCTTGGAGGAATTTTTCCCCTTCCATCAGTGGGGGAAAAACTTCCTTCTCCATAGCGTCGCAGAAGGTCAGGAGGGCTTCAGCAGCCTTTTTCTCGTACTCCTCAGCCTTCTGCTGCTTCTCTTCAGCTGCTGCCTGCTTCAGCTTAGCAAGCTTTAGCTCTTCCTCGGCTACCCTTTGATCGTGCTCGGCAGCGTCCACCCTATCTTGTAGGGAATCTATCAGCTCTACAGTGAGAGTCTGATTGTGCACGAACTGAAAACAGGGGCACAAGTTAAAAAAGTAAAAAATAATAGCTGAAAGGTTGAGTTCAGAAAGAAATCAAGGCAAGGAGAATTACCTGCATCATCAGCAGTTGGTTGGACCTGGCAGGGTCAGGAACTGATCTGCTGGATTCGCCCATCCCAGCAGTGGCCTTCAGCGACCAAATCCTTGCCCTATCTACTTCGGACAGGCCAGCAAAATCGCCAAAGTAGGCTGCAGCACCTTCTCGGTTCTGACCCCATATGAGGTCCCAGATGTGGTCTGGGACTGGAATTCGGGGGGCCGAGAAACCCATTTCTCCAGACTGCAGCGTCTGGAAGGAAGGGAAGGATGACGATGGAGCCTCTTTAGCTTTGGGTGGCTCAACGTCCTCCTCCTTCTCAGAAGAGTCAATTATTGTGACCTCTTCTTCTTCAGGTGTGAGGACGAAGGCCCCAACCTCTCTGGCAATGTCCGCCGTGAAACCCTCAGCACTGGGCATCACGGCGTCTCCATCCTTGTCCTCGGCGGCACTCTCTCGAGCTTCTTCCAGAACCTCTCCCTTAGGTTTGGGAGTTCTCTGATCCACCTCCATCTCGGGGGGTGGCGGAGAGGCCCTTGGGGGTGATTGAGGCGGTGGCCGGGGAACCCTCGGCGATCCATTGCCTTCCTCGGGTTCCCTTATTTCAACGCCGATGGTCATCGGCCTCCGCTGAAAGTCATGCGGGCCGATGATGGCCATTCTTCGGCGCCTCTTCTGAAGCGGCTGCTCGTCCATACCCGAGTCTGAAGACTCTTCTTGTACTTGGTCTTCGGGACGAACAGGGGCTTTCCCTTCCCTGTGTCTGCTGCTCTCTTCAGACTGTAAAGGGCAGGCAGGGGGAAGAATGTGAAAAAAAAAAAAAAAAAAAAAAAAAAAGACAAAGTTAAGTCTAAAGGCTCACCGAGGTCTTCAGCAAAGCCTCGTCTTCTTCAGCTGCCCTAGCCGCAACTTCTTCAGCAACTCTGGAGGACCCTTCTCCACCTTCACAAGCTTCAATAACCCGTGCAACCTCTTCGGCTGTACGGGCAGCTTCAGCTTCTTCTTCCAGCAGCTGAAACAAGGGATCTCTCTTCTTCCACCAAGGCTTCTGCCTCTGATACAGAGCAACAGCCTCAATTTGGAAGTGGGAAGAGTCTAGGTGAACCTCTCGGCGCCTTGGTTCAGTGATAGGGGGAGCCCGATCAGTTACGACTCGTTCTCGGTTGACACCAAGGCGAGCGTAATCAATGCCGACGTTGGTCTCGTCCCGTTCTGAAAAAGAAAAGGGGAGAAGTCAATTCAGTTAGTTCGGCACATCACAAGAAAGCAAAATGAAAGAAGAAAAGAGATAATTAAAAGGCCTCGGCCCCAGCCGAAGAAGATTACCATCCCTAAACTTTCGGCTGAGGCCGACAGCTGCCAGCATATTCTCTTGGAAAACATAGTGCGTATCGGGGAGCCAAGTCTCCGGGATATGCTGCATTCGGCCGCTGCCTCCCCGGTTCGGCAGCTTGCCGAAGATGTTCTGCTGATTAAGGTTCGGGTCTGGCCCGCTATCTTCGGGAGGACCTAAACTTCCCATATCAGGATCCGGCTCGGCAAGATACCGGGGAGCGCTGAAAACGTAAGGGTGGCTCGGCTCCGTGGGTGCCCTAACCCAAATCCATTGACCTCTCCAGTCCTTGTCTGAAGAGTCGTTCGGCCACATGGTTAGGAACGGGGGCCGAGACTCAATCCGATACCACCCAGAGCCATGGCATCCGTGCCCACTTTGAATGTTTGGCACTAGCCGATGGAGCCTTTTGAAGCAATGCAGGTTCGGCACGTACCTGAAGAATTTGCAGACCCATAAGTACGTCATTACCCTTCGGATGCTGGTGGGGGTCAGCTGGCACAGGGAAATGTTGTAATGGATCAGCAAGTCTCGGACGAATACGTCCAAAGGGAACCTCAGCCCGTACTGGAGTTGTCTTGTGTACACCCCCACATACCCCGGGGGTGGACGGTGGATTCTATCGGAGGCCGTGGGCATTCGGCACCAATACCCATCGGCTTCAAGGATGCCGTAATGCAACTCAATTTGCTCGGCAAACCGGTACTGATCAGCATTCTCCACCCACCATGAGTAGGGGCGGTTCTTTATCATGGCCGAAGCTACTTCGGCATCCTCCCACTCTGAAAACCCTGGGAGGATATCCCAAAGGACAGCGAGAACTTCATCATCCCGTCCTGAAGCGCTCACCCCCTCAGCCCTCTGAGGAGGAGCCGAAGAAATGGGAGTCGCCCTAACCCCTTCAGCAGGGTCAGACTCTGTCCTTCGTCCATTCCAGGTCCCAATCCTGTCCCTGGGATCGGGGATTAGCCTTGCTCTTCTTGGAGCACGGGCTCCACCTCTAACTCCCCTCACCATTGACGAATTTCGAAGGAAAAAGTCGAAAAAGGGGAAAGAGTGCAAAGTCGAAGAAAAATGAAATAAAATCAAAGGAATTTACCTTGATCTGAAGCAAAAGCCGCCGATTTACGAATTGGTAGTGACAAGTCTCAGCTTCTAAGCTTAATGCTCGGGGAATTTGCGAAGTTTTGATGCGGGCTCTTGAGCGTTCTTGAGAATTCTGGGTTTGTGTTGATGAATGAGTGGGGAGAGAAGACGCGCCTCTATTTATATCTCCAGAAATGGGAATTCAAGGAGTCTGCGTTTCAATTTCTCTCAAGCACCCCACTAAGTAACCGTTAAACACACGACCTTGCAGTTAAATCGCCCACTACCCGTCCAACTTCCGCAATTATCCACATTAACTGTTGTTATCTCATTAATCATGGGTTAATTATGGTTTAAATTCACATTTTTGGATTAACAAATCATTCACTTCCCTCCTTTTCTGATTAAATCAAACCCGACCCGTCATCCTTCCAAATCGGGTCTGGGGGGCAAGTTGTTTGGGTCCAATTTAGTCCAATTGGGCCTGGTCACTGAATGATCCAATTAAAAGCCCAAGGTTAAGGTTCAACTCTCCAAATGTGCTAAAGTCAAAAATCAACATCCTCAAAGCCATGTCAAGGTCAGTCAACGGCCCAATCAGCTTGGCCCAGCCCAACTGACTTCCGGGCCCAATCCGCCTCCTTCATTAGCCAAGGTATAAAAGCCAACAATTTGGTCAATTCTTGGTAAGACAATAAAGCCTCAAGCAACTAAACTCTTGCACAGCTGTCTCTCTCTAATATACTGACTTAAGCATCGGAGGGGCCTTCCTCGGCGTCCCCCCCGAGGCTAGTTTACGTGTATTTGTTGTGCAGGAAACCCTCGGCTCCTGCGTCGTTCGGACCGAGACCAAGTTCCCTCAAGATAAAAGGATCTTCCGAGATTCGATTGTTTTCATCCGAAACACCATCCATTTGTCCCCCACAGTTCTAGTTAGCTACTTTGTTTTCATAATTACAATGCTCAAAATTCTCTAAGTCATTAACTATATTATCTCTATCAACTCTTGATTCAAACACAACTCACTGCAAGAATCCGCGTTTTATTTATTTATTGTTGTGACAAAAATTCTTCTAGTGATCTTTGATTTATTGTTGATAGTCGAATCAAAATGAATCTTTCAGTGAATGGTCACTCGCAAGTACCTCCTGGTTTTCGATTTCATCCTACAGAAGAAGAGCTTCTTCAATATTACTTGAAGAAGAAAGTTGCTTTTGAAAAGATAGACCTTGATGTCATTCGAGACATTGATCTTAACAAGCTTGAACCATGGGATATCCAAGGTAATTTATATATGTGACTAGTTTTCATTTCATAACATATTTTTTAATATCATTAATGTACAAAATTTAATCAAAGCAGTGTAGAAAATTGATCATTTTCTTTACACATACTATTTTTCAGAGAAGTGCAAAATAGGATCAGGGCCTCAAAATGATTGGTACTTCTTTAGTCATAAGGACAAGAAATACCCTACAGGGACTAGAACAAATCGTGCCACTGCAGCCGGGTTTTGGAAGGCCACAGGCCGCGACAAGATGATTCATAGCAACAACAAACGCATTGGTATGAGAAAGACGCTTGTTTTCTACAAAGGTCGAGCTCCTCATGGTGAGAAATCTGATTGGATTATGCACGAGTACAGGCTTGAAGATTGCGGTACTAACACAGTACATGGTCACTCCATTATTGTAAGCTTAAACTTTTAAATCTCACTTTTTTTTCAAGCACTATTTATAAAAAGCTTAGGAAATCAGAGAAAAATATAAAAAGGATAAATGATAGAGTCAAGAACTACAAGTCAAAGTTTATGATTTTCTTATGTAATACAGCAAATGTAGATTTCCTTTTCAAGCAGTACATATAAATAATCTTCTACTTTAGGATAGTTTTACCTAATTATCCTATGTTTCTATTTACATTTATATTCGAGAGATAAAGTTACCCTTGTAAGTTAGACAAGTAACATCCATGCATGATGATTCTTGATGTCAAAATTAGTATTGACAGCTTGACTAGTTTACATTTTCAAGAAGAAAAACTACCAAAAGGCAGTTGATAGTCCAAGATGCTTCCCCACATCAACCGATCCACAAACCCAATTGTTAAATTTCAGCAGTAAAAAGGTGCTTGATCACATCTTTTCTTGCATGGAGAAGACCTATGAAGATGAGATTACCAACATTCATGATCATCCAACAACCTGTACTAGTACCGCCACCAATAACATCATCCCTACCTACAGCTGTTGTACTGAAACCACCCCCAGTATCGAGGCCTCGAATCATCAGCTATTACTGAACAATCAGTTTTCAGTTGAAGATGATCAGTACAATCTTCCTATGCTTACCTGCAGCAACAACAGCAGCCCACAGCCATTTGAACATCATCACGACGATGATCCTATGCTTACCTGCAGCCGTAACACAACAAGTTTAAGCGATTGGATGACACTAGACCGCCTTATTGCTTCTCAGCTCAACGGCCAAGATCATCATCAAGACTTAATGTGTTCGAATTCAGTTATGTATCATCGTTAAGTCATAGCCGCCCTACAATTAGCTATGGTTACACCAGTTGTGACAGTACTATGCAATCTCGCTTTCTGCCTGCTGTCTCCTGATGATGATGAGGATGGTGACATTTATCACCTTTCTGCACATGATTCGTGCTCACCGACGTCGCCTGCTCATCAATAAGAGCAACTTTTTCATCAAGTCATTTGTGGGAACCAGCAACGAACACAGGGTACTATCTATGAAAGTTGACTAGTTACTGAAGATCTTTGTCGTTACCAATCCTCATCATTACTTACGTTGGAATTTAGTCGATATATACCCTGTAAAGTCTTCCTCTATGCATGATTATCATTCCAACTTTAACTATTGATGATTTCGCTAAAATTATACAATAAAATCACTTGTACATCTTTAAACGGATCGGAGTTTTCATATCAAAGTGTAATTTTGTAATATTATTGTTTTGTAATTTTAATAAATTATTTTGAAAGACATTAATGATTATAATTTGACTTCAATGATGGGTGTTAGGGGTTAAAGTCTTCCTTTATGTATGATTTTTATTTGAACTTTAACTGTTAATATCTCTCAAAATATACAACCATAAAAAAAACTCTGATACATCTTTGTATGGAGTATCCATATCAAATTGTATTTTGAAACATTATTGTTTTGTAATTTAAATAATTTATTTTTGAGAAAAATTAGTGATTAAAGTTTTGAATTCTATTGTGGGTGTTATTAGTGGTAGCTTATCTTAATGATTTGTATTTTTACCTCCATTTAATTACTTGATGAAGAGATGGATGAAGTTAAGGATTATAATGGTTCAATGATTAATAGTTTGTACTAATTAAGATCTTAATTCACATTTTAATCATACACAAAGGTGATTGAACCTCAGCCATAAAGTAATCTAAGATTTTAAATGATTTCACGCAGTAAATATTGAAAGGAATTAAGGAGAATTACATCCTTTTTCATACAAGTATTAAGTAATCACCTGTATTTTTTTTTTTGTTTTATTGTTTTTTTTTTCTTTTTCTTTTTCTTTTGGGAATAAATCACCTTTAGATTTTCCTAAACAACATAATTTATGCGGACATACACATTGTTTATCAACAGTTACAATCTTAACATCATCAATTGAAATTTTTTCGTGAGTTGGCCACAAAAATAGTTTAATTGTGTACGCCAATTAAGCAAGATAAGAAAGCAAGGGAGCTTGTTTTATTAAAGGGTTATGTTTCTCATTTTAAACGGATAAAATTAAAAAATTATACTATCATTTAAGAGGTGCATAAGTTTCAGAAAGATATAAATAAAGTTTTGTATTACACATATAACATACTTAGCTTCCTCCGTTTTTTTTCTTGACCCGCTTTGACTTTTACACTATTCATCATCCCTCATTTGACCATCTTTTGTGAATTATATGCAAGGAGAAACATATTCATGTGGGATCTTGTTAAAATCGTCTCAATTAGTACTATGATAATATATAATTTTTATAATTTTAACTTATGGATAATTAAAGTTATTGATGATTAAATTTCTGCATTGACAAGCGTGATAAATGAAACAGGTCAAGTAAAAAAAAACAGAGAAAGTATGATATAACTGATTTGCACGTGATTTTGTCATGCATTCCTAAATTAATACCAAATTAGGGAAAATATTAAATGCTTATTCTTAACACTAAGGGCTACATATAGCATTACCCTTAGTTGATTACATTTTTTTTTTTTTTAGGAAAGAAGCAGTGAATTACATACTTGTATATACTATGCACAGTGTTAATTAGAGATATAGCTAGATATTAAAAAAAAAATGTATATATTTACTCTTGGCCAAAAGTACAGTTATTTTCAAGTGGCTTTGCATTCTTAAAAAGCTACTTAAGAGTTGTATTGTTAGGATAGAGTTGATTTTTGAGTTTTTTTTAATCCTATACTTGGAAAGCTATTTGGAAAACATCGTTGAACATGCTCCTATAAGTTAGTACCTTCCGAAATTTTAACAACTAAACTAGTGAATATATGCAAAAATTAGTTCTAAGTTTCTAATTAACTACAAGAGACATATCGAGTACATATGCACATGTTCTATGATAAAAGGAACGAAGGAAAGGCCCGTAAGAGGCCGCAACATTCATTTCTCTTGTCGTTCCACGACCTTTTAAAGTTCAAGTATGTACACTAACTTATTATACTAGTAGGTGTAATTGAAAGAATAATATGATGTTACCCCCAATAATGATATCATGAATTAGAAAAATGACAAAGCATGACAACAGAGTCTACCAATAAGCAATAACATCAACAAAAATCAATATACAAAAGTCATGCCATACCTAATGGGTACATGTCTATTCCTTCAACTCAGTGAAACACCATTAATTTGTTGGAGAAAAATGCCTCAACAAAATAATTTGAACTTGCAGTATAAGTAGTTCAGTACTTGTCTATTTGTAGACAATGATATACGTAGATTGTTCAAGGCACATTCAATAGATTTATGTGCTTATGATGGTAGATTGGTAGAAGTGTATGCGCAATGCTCACTGCACATTCATTGAACATTAAGCCTAAAATCAAAGAACATGAAGACTAATTTTAATGAACATAAACCCCAATGAACATTTATAAGAGCTATAACTAAGATAATGTTATGTTCATTGGAGTTTATGTTCTTTTGTTTTAGTCTTCATGTTCGGTTTTACATTTGATGTTTATTAGATGCCCAATGTACACTGTGCATACGTCTCCACTATCCAATTATTGAGCAAAAGCAAACTATCATCTCTCATGTTTGACTGAAGTATGTAGTAGAGAATAAAAAAAAAAAAAAAAAAAAAAAAAAAAAGGAAAGATCTACTTGAGTTTACTAGTTAGATAGATTCATTCCTAAAAGCAAGTACACCTTCTCATGTCAATTTTCATCCTTCTCAATGCTTGATCTTTCCATTACAAAACACTTCCTAGTTGTCAAGAGAGGATCTTAATCAAGATAAAAGGAAAGGTAGTGAATGACATAGGGTGAAGGGAAATATTAATTAGGGCTGAGCAAAAATATCCAAAAAAATCGAAAACCCGAACCGTAATCGTTTCGAATAATTGGGTACCCGAACCGTTTAAAGAATTCGAGATGGGTAACCCAACAGATAAGAAATTAATGGGTCGGGTATTGGATATCCGTTAAGACAGTTTCGAGTACCCGAATTACCCGAAAATTTAAAAATGCTAATAAAAGAAGGAAAAAAAAAACTAAGAGAAAATTTAATGTGTATACTGAAATGGTATCGTCAGCTCAAAGACTAGTTGATAATGGTGTACCAGCCATTGATGTGGACTTGAAGAATAAGGAATGTTGTTTGTTTGTTGTTGTTGTTAAGGTAGAGCTGCCTTTTCTTTCTTCTCTTCTCTTCTTTGCTCGCTCTCTGTTTCTAAGCTTGTTACAGTCAAACTGATTGAGGAAGGAGAGAGAATGAAACCGAAACGGGGATCAGTTTAGAGGTAACGGAACGGACCAATCACACTACTTAAAACAAAGAAAGCTCTTCCTCAAACTCCTATTTTTTTATATCAATTAAATAAATACTTAAAAAAGAAAAACAGCTTATTGGTTCAGTTCGGATATTTGGTTTGGGTACCCGTATTTTCGAGTACCCGGATTTATGGATACCCGTTTCTTATCAGATCAGTTTCAGTTATTAGTTTTGTCCTCATTAGTTATCGGATATCCGAACCGATAACGTTATCGGTACTGGTACCCGTCCCATACTCTCCCCTAATATTAATGGCTCATTTCAAACAAGGATATAATTCAAAAGATGGATAAAAGTTTTATACTTCGTATGTTGTTTGTGTAGGACGCTATACACGATAATGAAAATAACAACTTAAGCTCTTAACTATTAGCAACGTATCACTTCGATCAATGGCCACTCTTTTAGAATCTCAAAGAATAGGCAACATTTCATCAGACTATAATAATGTATTGGTAGAGTAACCAAGATCGTTATGCGCAAAAAAAATAAAAAAAATCATTTAACATCTATAATATTAGTAAAAGTAAACTAACAAGTACCAACCATCAAATTGACCAAAAATATCATTATAAACTACGAAGAAATAATATTGAAGTGAAAATAACTACTACCTCTATTTCGTATTATCTGCAATATTTTTTAAAAACGGATGTTACACATTATCTGCAACAAACCAAAAGTTTCCTTTTTTAATAAATTTTTTTGTGTAATATTACCAACATACCCTTACTTAACTTCAATAAACCACCTATTATTAACTTATTAACCTATAATTAATTTATCCATGATTAAACCCTAACCCATAATCTCTCTCCTCCCTCACAGCCCACATCCACCATCAACATCACCGAATTTTCTCTCTTCCCTCTCAACCACCAGCAACAACACTTTTCTCTCTCTTCTCTCTTCTCTCTTCTCTCACAACCACCACTCCACCACCACCACTTAGATCCAGTTGCCACCCTTCTCATCATAGTTGCCGCCACTTTCACCTTACCCTTGTCAATTCGCCGCCGAGTTCTTTTCCCTTATCAAAGTCGCCGCCCCTCATACTCAATTATACTACGAATCGCAATTTGGATGGGGTGGAATTCGATGATTTTTTAACAAGGAGTGAGGTGTTTGTGGTGGTGCATTTCAGATCTTAGTGCGTGGTGGTGAGGTGGGGTTTCGATTCTTGGTGGTGGTGAGGTGGGGTTTCAATTTGTTGCTCGTGGTGAAGTAGGCGGGTTTCAAATCTTAGTGGTAGTGAGTTGGGGTTTTAGTTTGTTGGAGGTGGTAAGGTGGGGTTTTGGTTCGTTGGTGGTGGTGAGACGGGGTTTCGAATCATAGTGATGTGAGGTGAGGTTTAAGGTCTTGGTGGTGGTGAGAGGGTGGTCATGGCTTTATGGGGTAGGGTGTTGGTTACGGGATGGGGTGTTGGTGGTGGTGCGAGTTGGCTGAGTGGGTTTTGGGTGATTGTGGTGGGGTTTTGGACCTTAGTGGTGGTGACAGGTGGTTACAAGGTGGGGTGTCGGTGCTGGTGGGGTAGGTGCTGATGGTGTTACTTTCCCTCTCATCCAATTAATCACATGCCCCTTTCTATACTAATCTTTGTTTAAGAAATTTTATCTTGAAAATTGTGCAAACCACTTTATTACAGATAATATGAAACGCCGCTAGTATATAAAGTAATGAATTGAATTATTCACTACCTCTAAAATCGTCAAATCAAAAAGGGAATAAAAATTTCATATCCCTCTTATTCTTTGCCTTTATTTCATTTCCCTCATTAGTAGCCAACTAAATTGATGATAATTGAACAGGACAGGATAACTTCTTCGAGGTTGTGGGGTTATCAACTAAACCAATCACCAAAGACTTTCA